GGTGGAGAGAGGTGGGGGTGGGTCTGTTCAACCAAGGACCAAGGGACAGGACAAGAGGAAAGGCCTCAAGTTGCCCCAGGGGAGGTTTAGGTTGGATCTGAGGAAAAACTTCTTCTCCAAAGGGTTCTGAGGCATTGGAAAGGGTTGCCCAGGGAGGTGGTGGAGTCACCTTCCCTGGTGGGATTTAACAGACGGGCAGACGAGGTGCTGAGGGACATGGGTTAGTCAGGGACTTGTCAGTGTTGGGTTTATGGTTGGACTCGATGATCTTAAAGGTCTTTTCCAGCTACTACAACTTTGTGATTCTTTGTCAGCTTTGGGAGAAGCCACTGAAGCTGAGGAAGGGCAGGGGCCATGGCAGTGCCCTGAGGCTGGAAGGTGGAGGGGAGCTGGCTCTGCTCACTGTGGGCAGTGCCTGTCATGCAGGGCGCTGGTGTTCATGACTCACTGCTTTTGCTCTTCCTCTTTCAGGAGTGCACAAACATCTTTTCCAAAGGGGGAGGTGAGGAGCTGGCCAAGCACGCTGGCGTCCCCTTCCTAGGTGAGTGGCCTCTTGAGCAGAGCTCTCTGGTGGGAGATGATGTCTGTGGGGGTGTTTGAGTGGAGGGATGCTGCGTCACAGGGGCATGCAGGCTGGGTTCTGTGTCCCTGTGAGCCCCTGCTGCCTGGCCAGAGGTGAGGTGTGGCTCTTGCTTTGCTTCTCTGCCATCCAAAGTGCTCAGAGTGGGCATCTGGCCCTCCTGGTGCAGAGGTGGCGATAATCAGCAGCCTGCTCTGGCTCCTGACATCATGGTGACAGTGTAAGTGAGCCTGAAGCAGCACAAGAGCCATCCTCAAATGCCCTGGAGCCTCCTGGGGAAATGGGGGCTGAGAGCTGAACCCTCCAGACAGGGGTGGGATCAGGTTGGGAGAGTGTCTGTCACAAAGTACTGTGGTGTGGTGGGGTCTTGGGGTGAGAAGTAGCTCCTGGAGAGCTCAGTGAGGGTAGTGGTCGCCCTCTTTCCTCCTGCTTCCCCCAGAGATGACTCTGGCAGGGGTTTTCTTTAGTATCCTGACTCCAGACCTTTGCAAGGAGTCACTCTCCCCATTCCTCCTGTCCCACAGGCTGTGTTCCCCTGGACCCCCAACTCAGCCAGAGCTTGGAAGAAGGCAGAGATTTCATCCAAGAGTTTCCCAAGAGCTCTGCCTTCCCTGCCTTGGTTCACATCGCCCAGCAGATCTCGGATGGGACGTCACAGCAGAGCTCCTGAGGAGGGTATGGAGCTGGACTCTTCCCAGCTGAGCCTGGAGCACCACCAGCAGCTCGTACTGGTGGGGAAGGGGGTGCAGAAGCTGTTTGACTATAAAACTGTCTCACTGGGGGGGTGATGGAGGGAGGGGGGAGCACAGCATCGGTGCTGCTTGTGAGGATCCAAAAAGGGAAGCGCTGCTCTATCCCCCTGGATCTGAAGACACCCTGTGTGGATGCTCCTGCCCACCCAGCACCAGCCTGATTCTGGTCTTCTCGACCTGGGAGAGCCCTGCCCAGATGGTACAATTGCTCCTAACCCTGCACATGCAGCGCCTTCCTCCACAGCCAACCGTTGTGTGGGTGCTTGGGGAGCTCTAGTTTGTGTCCATGGCATCCTGTGGTGCTTCTGGTGATCACCCACTGCAGCTACAGCAGCAAACACCATGGGCTGTTCTTCCCTCACTGAACCCAACCAGCACCAATCATCTGGATCGTGGCTCCGTGTGCTGCTGCCTTCTGCTGCTTTCCTTGTGTGATGGATTATCTGGTACTCGGTTCAGTGGCTGCTGAGTTCGTGCTGGTTGCTCTGATGTGGACCCAAGCCAGGCCACCTCGCTCTGACATCTCAGATCTGTGGTTCCTGATGGGATGCTGAGGGCACAGGACGTGCTTCTCGTGAAGGAATGTCCCGAGGAGATCTCCTGCCCCTCGGAGGTCGGCATCCTGCCGTGCTGGGAACACGAGGCTTTTCTGGTCTGCTGGGGGTTCTTGTGACTCAGGAATATTTTCAAAGGTTCCAGACAGTAAATGTTTTTTCTTAAAATCCAACTCTGTGACTTGCATTTTTTCCATGGCTTCAGGCTTCATTGCAGCTGTGAATCTTGGTGTCACGAGCACTTCACCTCCAGCCAGATACTTCCTGCTTTTCCCCTGTTTCCTTGCTGGGGTTCAGCTAAATCTTTCCTCCTTCCATCCCAGCTTCAAGACCCAGCCAGTCTCTTGTCTTGCTGGAAGCTGGCCCTGGCAGTCCTTTGTGGGATGCTTTGCCATGGCTGTTCTCCACACCCCTGCCACGTGTGGGGCTCCTCTGTGTCCCCAGGTAGTTCCTGCCTCACTGCCGCGTGTCCTGTTCCCTCGGGTCTCCTTCCATGGCCCTGGAGCTGCTGCTCCTGTGTGACCTGCCCTCTTCTTGCAGGCTCCAGTTAAGCTGGGGAGGCAAATGAAGCTGGTGTCCTTGCATCTTATCTCCCTCCCTGCTGGACTCTGAGCCTCTCCTGCCTGGATATCCTCTCCGTGCTCAGGACTTGCTCTTGCAGTGCTGTTTTGGGAAGGCAGGGGGAAATCTCAAGATGTTCTACTAACCAGACTGGATTAGAGCTGGCAGCCATTAGTTGGAGAAGAGCAGGAGGAGCATCTGTCCCTGCTCACCCTGTGCCTGCAGCGAGGACTCACACCTGACCAGGTTTCCCCCCTACGTGTAACTTTCCTGGAAATTTGCTCTGACCTTTGGTCACTTATCTGGGATTTGGAGAGCCAGGCAGCAGGGCTGGAGTCTGACCGGGCTGTTGGCTCCTGCAGCACGGCCCAGCACTTCTGGGTGCCCTCCCTGGGCACGTGCCACCCACCCAGGGCTTGCAGAAAACATGCTGCAAACTTCTCCAGCACCCTGAGGAGCCCGTGCTCCTCACCCTGTGTCTGCAAAACCCTGAGGGGCTCCGATAAGAAACCTCAGCTGGGTCCAGCACGTGCTTTGGAAAAAACATACTTACAAGATGTGTTGCGATAGCTCCAAAGGTTTATTTGTCTGCTCCGATTTATCAGGTGAGTGACGTGTGCGGCTTTTTGCACCCTGCCTACACCTGCTCCTGCAAGG